GCCGCTGAGGGGCCGCCAAGCCGGCGTGGGAACACCGCGTCCCCAACTCCGGCGCGGCCCAGTGGGGACCGGACCGCCCACCGCGGAAGCCCAGACCCGAGCCACCCACCTGCGAAGCAGCCACGCGGCTCCCCTCAGAGCAAGCGCGCGCTCTCACCACCACTTCCGGTCCACCTTTTCCCGCCCAGGGGCACTTCCGCTCCCCCTTTTCCTTCAAGTGATTCCTGTTCGGTTCTCCTCGGCCCACCCTGGGACTGTTGGGGTTTTCAGACTGCAAGCTTTGCTGTTGATGCGTGCGTAACCTTAGGAACCAGGGCAAAATGGGATGTTTTCTTGTTTTATTTTGTCCCTTTCACAGATACAACATCCACAAGTTTGGATATAGCTCTCTGATACTAATGTTTGTTGGTAATTTACTATGTGCCCAACGGTAAAGTGTTTCACCTACTTCACCTATTTTCGTCTGCACAATAACCCTATCCCTCTATACTTTTTGCATATTAAGAGACTAAGATGTAGAGAATTTAATGACCTGAACTTAGCAGCTTCTGGATCCCCTTTGTGCCCTGCACCCTTCACCCAGTCATCTGCGCTGCCTGGTTTGAATTTTTGTCCCCTACAAACTTCATGTGAAACGTAATCCCCAGTGCAAGGTGCTGTGAGATGAAGCCTTTAGGCTGTGATTGAGGCATGAGCACAGTGCTCTCCTAAGAGGACTGGACAGCGGCGTGTTCACCCCTTTGGGGCCTGTCTGCACCTTCCACCTGGAAGGGCACAGCACTCCTCACCTCTGGAGGATGCAGGAATGTGGCGCCATCTTGGATGGAAGCAGAGAGCCCCCTCCTTAGACACAGGACTGCTGGTGACTGGATCCTGAGCTCTCAATCTTTAGAAATGCCAGCAAGGGGGCTGGGGATTTAGCTCAGCGGCAAAGCACCTGCCTGGCAAGCGCAAGGTCGTGAGTTCGGCTCCTGGTACCGGAGAAAAACCAAAACCAAAAAAAAAAAAAAAAGAAAGAAATGCGAGCAACACATTCCTCTTGTTTATGAATGACCTAGTCTTGGGTGTTTTGATACAGTACCACAACCAGACCAACACAGTTGGTAAATACAAAATATAACTTCTTCCTAGAAGAAAGATTTGAAATAATTCTCAGGATTGTTTTGTTGTTGTTGTTGTCATTTCTCCTTTTCTGAAGTGTTCATCGTAGAGACATATTTCTACTTGCATGGAAGGCACTTGCTCTCTTCAATTGCTGTGCTCATCTTGGGAAAACTACATTATATATCAGTACATTCAGACCCTTCATAAACTTTAAAAACGAGCATGCTGTTTCAATCCATAAAACTGTGAATAGTCTCAAAATGAAGAAAAAAGCACCCAACAATAGGTACACTGGTTGCAATTATAAACTGAATTGTGAAAAGGATCAGAGAAAACTTTAGAGTGAGGTAAGTTATCATTTAAACTGATTTTTTTAATTTTGAAGAAATTAACAAAACTGGATAAATGCTAAGATTAAGAGAGGTAGAGCACTTGCCTAGTATGTGTGAACCCTTGTGTTCAAGCTCTAAATTGAAAAAAAAGACAAAAAGGTTTCAAGTCCTAAGTCCTTAAATTTTCAAGTTAAAACTGTACACTGGCCTTGAGCCATGTTTGAAATTCTGCTTTTGCATATAATGTATAACCTATGATATAACCATCCCCTAGTTCCTCAAAGTGACAACTCAAAATGTACTTCAGTTAGGATTTTATTCCACTTTGATTTCCAAATTTTTATTAAATTATAATAACCAGTACTAGGAAAGAGATAACCAAATTGGTCATTACATATATGTGGGGCCTTATAAATACTTTGAAGTACCTTGAAGAAATGTTTATATAAAAGAGGCTTATTACAGCACTATATATAATAAAATGAAGTTAGGAATAACCTAAATGTCAAAATATAAGAATTATTGAGTATAACAAAGCAGCCTATAATCTCAGCATTGAAAGAGGGTGAGGTGGGACAATCACAAGTTCAAATCCTACCAAGGTAATTTAGCAAGACCCTGACACAGAATTAAATAAAAAGGGCAGGGGGTGCAGTGCAGTGATAGAATTATGTTATAGTGCATTGACCACTTCAAAGGTCCAGGTGGGGAAGAGGATGCCATGCAGTGCTCATGGTCACTAAGAGACAGAAATTCTAACCTGAACCTGAACCCTAATAATAATAATAATATAAAATTTTTACTTCAAAGTTTAAAAATGTTTTCTAAATTCAGAAAATAAAAAAGAAGTATTAATTCTATAGAAAATGTCAATATACAAACAAGCATGATGATGAGCTCTATTAATATATTTAAATAAAAACAAGAAGCTCAACCAAATAGATATTTAATATACCACATTTTCCCTATGTCCATTTAACATTAAAAAAATTTTGACTAAGATCTAAGAAAAAAAATTAATAATTTTATAAAAGTTAGAGATTTTAGAAGCCATAAATAATAATCTATAATAAAATTATAGTAAAAATTCACATTATTTGCAAATAGAATAGCTACCCCTGATTTTTCTGGGATCCTGTCCCATGGAGTATTTTTTTGCATCCCTTGACCTTCAGTCTGTCAATTTATTTTTGAGTTAAATGTATTTCTTGTATGCAGTATATCATTGAATCTTCATCATCCATTCTGCCAGTCTGTTTCTTTTGATTGGTGAATTGAGATAATTTCCATTGATGGTTGTAACTGATATGTATTGGCTTATGCTTCCATATTATTTTCCTATTGTGGGTATATATTATGGTTTGTGTCTAGATGTCCCCTGAAAGACTCATGCAGTTATGGGGTGAATTTCTAGAGTTTGTGATTGATTTATGGTCCAATGCTGAGGTTAGAGTTGTGAGTGCTACACCCACCCTGGTGCATATAGCTTGCATGCAATATAAGGAAGGGAATAAGGCTTGCTCTCATACTCTTCCCTTTTTGCTCTTGTTGCTTTTGCTGTCTTCGACCGCAATAAACCGGTGCCCTCTGCCATGTGCCATTCTTCCTTGGAGCCAGACTTGTATGGGATGAAACCTCCACAAACTGTGAGCTAAATAAACCTTTCTTTCTTTAATTTTGGTTGTCAGGTATTTTGTCTCAGCAACAAGAGAAATGTAACTAAAATAGTATCCTGTCTTTCCTTTCTGTTTAATTGCTTGCCCTGGCTGGTAGCTTCTTTTTACTGGTGTTCTTAGAATTTTGGTCTTCCATATTTCTTTCCAGAATATCATTCAGAGCATTTTGGAGAGCTGGTTTGGTGGTCATGAATCTTCTCAGTTTTTCTTTGTCATGGAAGTATTTTATTTCTTGATTAATTCTGAAAGATAGTTTTGCAGGGTACATCAATCTGGTTTGGGGGTTATTTTCTTTTAGGGCTTGAAATACTTCAAGCTCTCCTTGACTTGAGAGTCTGTGTTGAGAAGTCTGCTGTAATTTTGATGGCCTTTCCTTTATAGATGATATGTTTTCTTTTCTCTAACAACTTTTAATATTCTGTTCTTGCGTTGAATTTCTGGAATCTTGATTATTATATGCCTTGGTGTAGACTTACTTTGATCATGGCCAACTGGAGTTCTATGTACCTCTCTTATTTGTATGGTCAATTCTTTGTTCATGTTTGGGAAGTTTTCTGCCATTACTTCTGTGAAGGGTTTTTTTATGGCATCTCTGCTATGTCTAGTTTTCTCATTGACTCTGATCAACCTTATATTGTTTTTCTTTGCTTCATCTTGCAGCTGTTGGGTTGATTTTTCATGATGTCTTGCTATTTTTAAGATATATTCCTGATGTCTTGCTATTTTTAAGATATATTTCCTTTTGAGGTCATTAACCACAATTCTGTCTTCAAAGACTCATATTCTGTCTTCACCTTCATTCTGTCTCTTTCATATACTTTCAGTGGAATTCACCTGAATATCTGTTTGGATTGCTTTCAATTCTTTCCTGTGTAAGACATTTATGGTTTCCATCATTTTCCTGGATTTGATTTTTATGAGCGTCTACTCTAGATTCATTTGGCATGTCCTTCATTTTGATCATCATTTCTTTTGTTACCTGAGAGAATATTTTTTCTATAGCCATTTCCACTTTTTTTTTTTTTTTTTTTGCTTCTCTGTTGTCATTTCAGAAAGGTCCAGTGTGTGTCTTCTGATTTCTTCTATCTCATTGAGCTCTGGACTTGTGAAGGTTGGGCTGGAGGTCTGTGGTTGAATTTTGCTTCTGTGTCTTGTCATTTTCCATTTTTTATTTCATTTTCTATTTTGGTATTGTAGGTTTCTTATGGTAGATAGCTTTATCACTAGTGTCTTAGTTACTTTTCTCTTGTTGCTGAGTTCAATGCCTAAAATTAAGGAAGGAAAGATTTATTTAGCTCACAGTTACAATCCATAATCAGAGGTTTCAATCCACAATTAGCTGGCTCTAAGGCAGGGTGGCATGGCAGAGGGGCAACAGTTCATAGCGGCAGAAGTTAAGAAAAGCAACAGGAGCAAAAGCAGAGGAAACAACACTCTTTTCCTCCCTGATGTTGTATGCAGGCTATGTGCCCTTGTGGAGGGTCACTAACACCATCTCTGTGCCCTCCTCTTGCACAGGCTAAGGATATTTACAAAGTGAGGACCCTGAGCCCCTGCAGAGGCAAGCTGGAAACAAGATAACTCTGTTTCCTGAGGGCAAGGCATGAAAACAAGAGGTCCAGCTCTAACAAGCTGTCTTTGAAAGCCTGCCCC